AAAATAAGTTACTAATTTACTAAAATCTTGTCAAGGAGACTCTGCTTCAGTAAGCCCTTTTATCCTGGAGCTTGTCTAAATGGGGACACTCAGGCGAGCTAATCTGAATTGACCACAGATGGGAATGTAAAGTGAATGAGATAATTGCATTGCAGAGTGGACAGTCACTCTCACTCACAGTTAAAGAATTAACATCTGCTAAGGGCCCCTTGAGCCCTCAACAGTGATCCCTAGCCAAGGATAATTTTAAGATTAGTGTGTTGAAAAGGAAATATTAATATAATCTGAACTATGGGAGGGAAGATAGCCTTTTTTGCATACTAGTAAAATTAGTATTCCTGTCTGAGCATGAAGCTGAAAGAGTTTATTTCTGCATCTTGTTTACTTAGATCAGATTATGTGTGGCTGGTGGATCCAGTTCTGATTTCCCTTGCAATAATGTGGCTGAAGGGTTACACCCTGAAAAACAATGAAAATACTCATTATTTGTAGCATTTTTGTATGATTCAGGCTAAAACTTGGCCATAGCCTTTCTCTTAAAACACTGGTGATACAAGGCTAACATTTAGAGGTTTCTGCCTATGCTTAACAAACTGCTGTTGTGAAACAATTAATTCACTGTATTAAGCATAGGGGAAGTCTATAATGACCTCTCTGCATGCAGCTGATCCGATATTATTCCCTGACATGGGAATGTGTCTCCTTCACAATGTTGCACATCCAACTCCTCAAACAGGCAGATGCTTGAAGCTTGCTGGAAACCCAGGTTGGCTGTACCAAGGTTGGATGCCAGGGCAGGAGGTGGGCACCCACCACCTGCCTCCTTTCCTGTTCTCTACTGAGGAGAGGTTCAGTTGGTTTGTTTGGCTTCTGTATACCTGCAGAGAAATCACTGCCCACTTTGCTGGTTGTTGAAACAGTGGTTCTTCCTTGCATGGGGTCGGACTGCTGCCAGGCTGCCCTGGCATGGGGCTCAGCTCAACAGAGCCCCTGAGGTCTCTGGGCACATGCTGACCTGTGAACCCAGGCTTACTTCCACCAAGAAAACGATTTAGACCAAACCCAGGGCATTTTAGTGCAGTGTTCTTGACATCAGTACAGCCTTCAACCTCTTTGCTCAGCAGTTCTGCCCAAATTTGTCCTTTCCTTCCTAATCCCACCCCTGGCCTGTTGATCCTCCATCTCTCACCTGCCTCAGGCTGGAGCCACATCCACATCAGAGATAACCAAGTCTGGTGGACTTGCAGCATTAGGGACAGGCAGCAAAGAAGAGCAGGGACCTACCAAGCTTCTGATGAGGTGATTCTACCCACCAACAGACCATCCAAGTGCCACACATGGTGACACAATTACCTCTCTGATTCCCAGTGCTGAGGTGGCACCCAGCGGAGGTGACTGCAGCCTTCCAAAAGCATCGCTCTCCCCGAGCTCTCCAGCACCCTAGTGCCACCACTGCATGGGCAAGCCCAGAGTCACACTGCTACAGAAGGATGGAAGGCATCTCCCAGAGCCATGTCAGCATTTCTGAGGGCTGGGTCTTTGAAATGAGCCCAGAGACTTGGCAGCTTGTTTTCTACACTATCATAAATCTCCTAAAGATCAACATCATGGCAAATTCTGATGAGGGAGGATTTTTGTCATAAGAGTTGAAGTAGGCATCTGAGGAATGACTCATGATGATGAGGGCAGAATGCATAAAGTACGATCTTTCTTTTTAATAAAAAGTGAGGCAGATACACCTTTGACCCAAATTAAGATGGGTGATATATTGAAAAAAGGCCCTAAGCCCCTAAGTACTGTGGGGTTCTGCACACTGCTGCCTTGAACTGGGGCTTGCAGGTACTGTAAAAATGAGCAGAAATGCAGGTGGAGCAGCACTGCCTGTTCTTTACAGAGGGTAAAAACCAGAAACCACCAGCCCAACAAGCTGTTGTCTCTGTGCCAAACTCAGTGATATCTGGGGTGAGTCACCCCCACCTGAGGCCTCACCTGAGCCAAACTGCTCATCCAAGGGGATAGACAGCAGTGAGTGAGTTGCCAGCACCATGCAGAGAGACCCCAACATCCTGCAAAATCCTGCAAGCCCTTAAGGCAGTGCCCAGAAATGCACATGTGGTGTTGAAATGTCTGAAGTGTGAGAAAGCAGCACACAAACAGTGTGACACATGGCTTGGATCACAGGTTACAGCTGTTACATCCCAGTTAAAAAAAATCTAAAAAGTTAAAAAAGAAACCCAGTGGCCCTCACAGAATTTGTAGTTGTGCCTTAAAGAAGATGAGTAATACCCTTCAGAGTAATGAGTAATACCCTTCAGACATGGACATTTTGGATGACTGCATATTTGAAACCACTGTTTCAAGTGAAATTACTGTTTCCATATGTCTGAGATTAGGTGCTACCAAAGTGGGAGTAAAGCACAACATAACTCCAAACAGAACACAAAATTCTGATGTTTCTTTAGGTCAGATACATGTTGCTATTGGCAGCTACTCGTAATTGCTGGAATGCAGCACACTGTAATAAATTAAATGTGATATTTGCTAAGCATGCAGGCTTGCCATCTGAAGAGCTGCTGCTATTACTTTGCAGGTAAAAAGTGGTGTTTAAGTGCAGGAGACTGAAGTGTACCATGTGAGCGAAATCTTCTAAGCTCCAGCCCCTTGGAAGCAGTATTTGTTTAAAACTTGGAACAATTAAATGCTCTCGACTTTTATAGCTTCTTTGCAATAACACAGACTAAAGCCATGCCAAAAGAAGAGGTCCCACAGGAGCAAGTCCAGTATGTAGCCTCTCTTTGCAGCATGCTACTGCAGATGCACCAAAGAGCACCAAGTTACTTTTCTTCTTTAGACAGGCATTGGTTTCTACACACAAGACCATGATTCTGCTGTCCCCAGATTGCACCAGCCCAGAGAGGAGTTAGCCTGAGGTCAGGATTTGTGCAGGCTCTCTCCAGGCACAGCCCCCATCCTGTGTGCAGGGACAGCATCATCCTGGTGTGCAGTGACCACACTGAAAAGTGCACCAGGATGCTAGCAACAGGGGACCTAGTACCAGTGAGGCAAATACTGCCTTGTAAGATGCCCCGGCTTTCTTGGCCCTGAGTAAAAATCCCTGGTAAGCTTAAAAGGGAGCATGCAAATCATATACCCAAGAGAAGTCCCACTGACTGGCCTAAGAGCTGTGGATTTCTCCACGCCCTCCATCACAGGCTGGCATAGCTTCATGGTTCAGGTGGGACACAGAGGCTGGCACAAGTACTGAGGGCCTGAGAAATTCCCAGTGATGAACATACATTCTTCTTTTTGTGGGTCTTTCTTTGTAGTTGGCCCTGATTCAGAGCCACAGAATTATTTGGCTGGGAAAAGACCTTCCAAGATAATTGAGTCCAATACCCCTGCCATGGGTAGAGACATATTTGAGTAGATCTGGTCACTCAAAGCCCCATCCAACCTGGCCTTGAACACTTCCAGGGATGAGCCATTCACAGCTTCTCTGAGCAACCTGTTTCAGTGCCTCATGACCCTCATAATCAAAAAATGTCTTATGTCCAATCTAAATCAATTTCAGTATAAAACTGTTGCCCCTTGTCCTATCAGAAAAGGCCATGCTGAAAAGTCTTTTTCCACCTTTCTCCTAAGCCCCTTCATATATTGCACTCTGAAAGGAAGTTTAGGCAGCTTTTTGGGGGCACAAGCAAAAGATGCCAAAAAAAGAAAGGTAGCACTTTTTCTCGCCAGCCATTTGATTTAAAATGTAATGGAATAATCACCCTGGATCTGTCTGACAGGTCTGGAGATCTTTATTTCTCAGCTGTTGAGAGCATGGAACAGCTTCTCCCAGAGCAAGACATTGGCTGCCTCCTGGGACACAGCTAACAGATGCACTTTAGTGAAAAAAACAGCTCCCAGAGAGTGCAGAGAGTGGCTTCCTATCCAGAGCATGGCTAGAGGTGACAAGTGATTGCAAAGGGGTCTGAACACATGATTTTTCTCAGCATGAATGCTGGTCTCCAAGGATCAGGCTTTCACCTCAAAACCAGTTCTCAGCAGAAACTGCAATGATATAAGAGATCTCCTGATTCACCAACCAGATTTTATCTTTTCTCTGTGTTAGGCCAGAGGGAAATTGTAAATTTGATTAAACTTTCAGGCAAATTCATTAAATTAGGCCACTAGAGGGAGCAGAGTGCAGGGCTGGTGACCGGGGATGCGTCCCCGCGAGTGGGGGGACACAGGAGGGCGACCCCATGGCCGCGACTCCCAGGGGAAGCTCCCCAGCACCGGGGGACGGAATTGCACACTGGTAAGAGAATTATTGGTAGCGCCTACAAATGCATCACTCGTTATCTGCTGTTTCTGATATTGAAAATAGCCCGACTTTCACGTATATTTTTCTTTAGCAAATATGATGCTTTTCTTCCTTTTTTTTTTTCAAGTTCTTTTCACATAAGTGTGCATAGAATAAAAGACAAGGTATTAGTTTTTAAGTTACTTGGCTAACCTGGTTTATGGGAACCATACTTCGATGCGAGGTGAGTAGCTACTTTGACTGCTTACATGCCTGCTTCTCAGTGAAGGCAGTCACTATTAAAAGTCAATCTGGTGATTATTAATTTTAACATAGTTGCATTTTGGTCAGACTGATTTGCATCACCTTAAAACCACACGGCTGCAAGATCTGGAGCAAGCTGTCCAGAGTGACGCTCCCTTTGGCACTCCTGAGGAATCGGCAGCACGTGCCCAGGTTGCACTTGTGTAGCGGGGTTCACCAGGTGAAAGGAAAGGAATTATTTTGAAAAGAGAGGGACTGCGAACACAGCAAAGCAAGAGGAAGGGTGGTGCCCGCCTCACCTAGGAATGAATTACGTTACCTTGTGAAGTGACAAGAGATGCTGGTGAAATATAGTGAAATACGAAGCGTAAACACGGATGCAGAGATTGCAAGCAGAAAGGGGGCTGGAGCAGGGGCTCTCCCGTCCCAGCCCAGGCACACTTACCTCTCCTCCAGTGCAGGGGAAGGGGCTCGAATATCTGGAAGTGCAAATGGCTCCTCTCTGCCTCACATCATCCTCCAGCCCGAAGGTGGCCGAGCAGTTAGCAGCAAAGTATTTGTAAGGCTTCCACGTCTCGCCGAAGTCCTGGGAGCGCTCCAGCACCATGGCAGCCGGCCTGGGCGACTTGAAGACCATTATCAAGTGAGTGAAGTAGAAGGCGGTCTCCAGGTCCAGGCGGATGGTCTCACGGAGGGCATCGTGGGCCGCCTGCCACCAGGTGCGGGGCAGGCGAAAGGGCGAGTCGGCCATGGCGGCGGGCGGGTGCGCCAGCCCGGCCTGGGCCCCACTGCAGCGGCCGCACCGGGGCCGGCGGCAGCGCCGCTCCGCGTCCTCGCTGTAGCTGCAGAAGGGCTCGGCGTGGCGGCGGCCGCAGGACGTCTGGGTGCGCAGCGCCCGCCCGTGCGCCAGGTTGCCCATCCGAGGGTTGCAGGCCTTGTCGCAGGGACTGCTCGCCGCCGCCACGCCGCGCAGACCTGCGGAGGGGCAGAGAGCGGGGCTGCAGAAAGCGGGGCTGCAGGCGGCTCCTGAGCTGGAGCACCGCACCCCGTCAGAGCGGACACGTCCCGCCGCTAGCGGGATGCTGCCCCCGCCGACACCGACACCGTGTGCCGCGGGTACCCACCGAGCCCGGGCGGGGCTGCGGGACAGTGTGGGACTGCTGCTCAGCTCTCCCCTCTATGGACCTCAGTGCGCCTAAAAAAGCTTAAAAAGCCACCCCAAAACCTTTCACGGTTTCCCTGCGCTTGGGAAGATCCCTGCCTATCAAGAGATGTAGAGCAGGCAGCAGACAAGGCGAGAGATGAGTACGCCCTGCCCTCCCGGCCCCGGGCACCAGAGCAGGGCTGAGGCTTCAGGGCCAGGCCACCCTTGCCCCGAGGCCTGCAAAGGGATCCAGGTGACCCTGGGGAAGCGGAGAAAAGCAGAAGAAAGGCAAGCTGCCGACAAGGCAGCATGCTCACCAGGCCAGGAGACTGCCAGCAACCCAGACCTTGCAGCACTGCTGCAACCCAGCCCACTGTGCAGCACATCAGGTGTCGGGGTGTGAGGGCCCACAGGAATATCACCTGCCAGCAAGGGCCTCAAGTCTTCACCCCCTTTCCCACCACTCCATCCCCACCCCAAGTTTTCCCACCATCAGAAACTGCTGCTGACCCCAGTGTTTAATTGTAGCATGGCATAAGTTCGGAAAGGCTGTTGCTGGTAAGTGTAAATGGAAGAAAAAAAAGTTTTGGTTGAAATTATGCTGGCAAGCTGCCACGCAGCTGAGGCTCTGTGGTTTTTGTTCAAGCTTTTCTGGAAGTCCTGTCAATTTTAAAATCCACAGTTATAGAGTCAAAGAAAAATAAAATCACCATGGGCTTTGCTATGAAACCATGTAACTCTCACATATAATCAATGTAACTCTTGGTGTAGCAATGCTTGATTAGGGGCTCTCCAACATTTTATTAATTAATTTCAGAGTAGGTCAAAGCGGTATTTGGGGAATTGTTTAATATAAAAAAAAATCTGTTGACTTGGATGTGTGGAGGTCAAAGCATCTGAGGTGCATAATGTCTTCTTTATCACCAGGCCAGTCATACACAGTCAGCTTTGTGCACCAATTAATGTCTTCTTCTTGGCATTTTTGTTATATCTGAAGGTCATTTCAGTTTAGCATCCAATAAATCCTTTATCTGGGGTTTATTCAGCTTTTGTCTACAGTGTCATAGCTGCAATTAAGCTATGTTATGCACTAGCAGTGCTAAGCCTTGCAAGCCTGACAGCATCCCCCATTTCTCCCACTCTTCAAGAAGCACTCTGGATAAAAACCATTTTTACCACAAAAGTTCTATACGGGTTTTCTATAGCATTTCCTCAGAACAGCTGTGGAGCACTGCTTGCTGTGCACCCAGTACAAGGCACTTCTGAAGCCAGTCTCTGGATTTCACTGGGTGAGCAGTCTTGGGAAATTTTCAGCGAATAAGAAATGCTCAGTCAAGTTAGGCTTCCTACAGTGTGCTGGTAAAGCTGTGTTGGAGATGACCTACAGTAACTGTGCAGGATACGTTTGCTCCAGAGAAGTAAACATATAGAACTGTAAGGTCAATGTAATGTCACCTACAACTCCTGAACATCCTTTTCAAAGCATTGTATAAACATTAACTAACCCACGTAGCTCTCCTGAGGGGTAGGTAAGTTAAATGCTATTATCATATTATCAGTTAGGCCAGCCAGTAGTTGGCCTAATTTATGTCTTTGGCTGCTTTCCTGGATTCTTTGGCTTACGTGTAACACAGAGCAGTTTGCCGCTACACAAATAGATGAACATTTACTGCGGTTCCCTCAGTTGTGGGATTGCAAAGCAGATTTGGGAAGTGGTAGGAAGAGCAGGGCTCAGTCAGCCCCATCAGACAGGTTTGTGTTCATCAGGTCCTTTTGTTTTTTGCACACCAGACTGCTGCCTCCAGGAATGCAGTGGAGGAGGACCTGGTCAATGGGAGGTTTCCCCGTGACTGCAATTGGTGGTAGGGCTGTCATAGATGGCCCCAGGGCAGGGACAAGGCTCTGCCTGAGTCCAGCTGGGAGGGGTTGGCTACAAAATCCCATGTCAGACACCGGGAGCTGAGAGTATTTGATTGCCCTGGTCATGCACGGTCACTGACTGCAGTTGTCTTCGGGCCAGGCATTGAGGGTCCCTTCCTCAGCCGGGATGAGATCTGGGGCAAGGCACCTTGGCTTCAGCAGGGTTTGAGAAATGCTGCTGGCACATAGACGTGGGTCCCAGGGGCAGAAAGGGGGGAGAGGAAACCCCCTTTGAAAGGGTGTTTCTTTTCACTTGAATTGGAAAAGAGTTGCATGACCGATGCAGAGCACTTCGTGTTATGAAAAGTGACAGCTTTCTAGTGTAACACTGGCTGCCACAGGCATTCAGTAAAAGGACAAACTGAGAGCATAGAGATTTCTATGCTGGCAGTCACAAATTCACAACTGGTCTGCCACAGCACTGGAAAAGGTGCTTTTCCCTACTGCACTTAATGCATCTGCCCAACTAAATCTTCCCATTCTATCTACTGTACATGCCACCGGACTGGGATCTTCAGTAATGAGTAAGAGCATGCAGCAAGTACCATGACTCACCTGGGAAAACATCCATGGAAAATCATATGCTTCCTGCTTAAGCATTTTAGCAACACATGCCTTGTGATGTTTCATTTATATCTTGTGCCTGATTAAATGTTTGTTTCCCATCAGAGTTTTTTCTTCTTTTAAAAAAAGAAATTTGGCACTCGGCTTGCACCCGGCCGAGGAAGCGTTACGCAAACTGTTTATGCCCGAGTGTGTCTGCTGCGGGACCCCGCTGCGGGCAGCTCTGAGCGCGAAGTGTTTACGCTGCGGGAAGGGGCTTTGGAAACCCTGCCCGCGCTCCTCCGCACCCCGACGTCTCGGGGCACCGCCGCCCAAAGCGCCTGCGGAGCCCGCAGCGCCCCGCCGCTGCCACCCACAGCGCTCCGCAGCCGCTCCGCGGCATCCCCCGAAGCCCCGGCCCGAGCCCACCCGGCCCCGCCGGCGGCTCCGCGGGCAGGGGCGGCCCCCTCTTTGTCTGCGGCGCGGGGCGCGGGGGGATTCGCATCCCGGCCCCTGCCCTTCCGCAGCCATCCGCGCACGCCGCGCAGCGACCGACACGCACCGCATGTGCGGGCACACGCGCACCCGGCCTGCGCGCACACATATGCGCACGCACGTGCGTATGTGCGTGTGCGCGGACACGTGCGGACAGAGACCGCACTGTGAGTGCGGTGCGCGCACCCCGTGCGGTTCCCCGTGCGTGCGCACGCCCGCGCACCCCGCGCACACGGGCTCGGGCACACCAGCACGCGCGCGTACCCGCACACGCGCATGCGGCGCGCATCTACCTCGCACGCCCGCGGAGGACGGAGAGCGCCGAGCGCGGCCGGTCACGACCCACCTGCAGCGGCGGCGGCGGCGCCCAACAGCAGCAGCAGCAGCGCCAGCCGCATCCCGCGCCCCATGGCCGAGCGCCCCGTGGCCGCCCGCCCTGCGCGCCCCGCCGCCCCGCGGCGCGACCGGCCCCGCGCGGCATCAGCGCCTCGCGCGGCACCGCCGCCCGCCCGCCGCGCACCGCGCCGCCCCGCGCCGCCCGCCGCCCGCCGCGCAGCGCCCGCGCACCGCCCCGGCCCCGCCCCGCCCGCGCCGCAGCCCGGCCCTCCCGCCCGCCCGCCCGCCGGGGCCGCCGCGCCGCGGGGGGCTGTTGCCGGTGCGCGGCCAGGCGCGGTACTGCAGCGGAGAGCGCCCGTCCGCACGCCATACACACCCCCGCCCCGTCCCGCAGCCCCGGCCGCTCCGCCGCGGCAGCCCAGGGCGGACGGGCTGGTCCCCGCAGACAGAGAGAGGGATCCGCGATCCCACGGGACAGCGGGCTACTCATCGCCAGTGCCCGGAGGCTTCGGCTTCCGAGCTCGGGCGCGCTGTCGGGGAACAGAGGGTGGAAGTGAAGCTGCAAAAGGCAGCCTTCCTCCAGCCCGGCTCAGTTTCCAACGAGGGACTTAATTTACCACAAGTAACCCCGGGTCGCTCAACTTTGAAGACGGTACTTGTTTTATCGGCTTTTCTGGTAACTGAGCGAGGGAGCCACGTAAACATGAGAGGTTTTCCCTTTTTTTACTGGGATTGGCAATCTATGGCTTAGCTCCCATATGGTTTGATGGGTTTGATAGCACCGGTCACCATACCGCAACAGCAGTTTTGGGCTCTGAAACTAGAAAAAAGCACAGTTTCATCCACTGCTCCCCACCAGACCATTACCTTTTTAGGTCTCAGCGAAGGACCATTAAGAGAGTAAGGGTGGAGCACTTCTGAGCAGTCTTTATTTTTTACTTACCTGAATCTAATCTGGGAGGTGAGCATGTTGCAAGAGCTACAAAATGCTGTCATTCTCTGCACTTTGAACTTGGACAACTTAAAAACAATTCAATTTTAAAAATCAGCGTAACAGTGTCTTAAGACTACCATGCTGCCTCCTGTAATGCATCTCAAACACACATTTTGAGCTGCTAGGATTATATCATCACCAAAATGCTCACTGAAAAGTATTTAGTGCACAATCATCTGACTGGACAGTGTTATCTCTATGTCTTTACCTTACAAGGTAGAGGAAGGTTGATCTTTGCCGTCTTTCAGTTACATGCCACAGGGAAGCATTTTGCTCGCCTTGCCACTGTGATTTTCTCTACCCCCCAGGTGAGAGCATCTAGACTGGGACTTCTAGTCCCCAGGAACCTGTTGAGTCCCCATGGCTACTTGTGAGCTACTCAGGGGCTTTTCCTGCAGCCTGACTGTCATGGTGTGGGATGTTCCCACACATCTGAGCCTCCTTATAGCAGCGACCACAGAGGCAAAGGATGTTCCAGGGGCTTTCTGCCTTGTATCTTTCA